TATACATATTTTTATGTTCTCTATTAACTACCACATATCAGAGAACACAATTGGAATTTAGTTCATCTACATTCAAGGATAGTATTGATAACTAATGACCAGGTTCTGCCATATTTTTTCTTTAAAATTCCTAATGTTTGCTTTGAATATCCTTTGTTCTTTCTTTCGATAGTTGGTATCATACTTCCACACTCTATGGTGCCAATAGCTTTTTCTGTGTTTCTATATGTAGTACTTCCTTGCATGTCATTTGTAAGGCTGGGTCAAGTAGCAATGAATTTTTTTCAATTTTTGCTTGCTTTTTCTTTTTTTAAGACTTACGTTATTTATTTGAAAGGTAGAGTTACAGAGAGAAATAGAGGGGTCTTCCACCTGCTGATTCATTCCCCGAATGGCTGCAACAGCTGAAACTGGGCCTATCTGAAGCCAGGAGCCAGGAGCTTCTTGTAGGTCTCCCACATGGGTGCAGGCCCAAGTCTTGGGCCATCTTCCACTGCTTTCCCATGTGCATTAGCAGGGAGCTGGATAGGAAGTGGAGCAGCTGGGACTCAAACCGACGCCCATATGGGATGCTGGCACTGCAGGCTGAGGCTTTAACCCACTGCACCTCAGCACTGGCCGCCAATTTTTTGCTAGTATTGAAAGGTGTTTATTTCACCTTCATTTATGAAAGAGAGCTTTTCTGGATAAAGTATTCCTGGCTGGAAGTTTTTTTTCTTTCGGAAGTTAGATTATATCTTTTCATTCTCTGCTGGCCTGTGAGGTTTCTGTTGAGATATCAGCTGTCAATCTAATTAATGGGAGTCCCTGTAAAAGTGATCTGACGTTTTTCTCTTGCAAATCTTAGAATATTAACTTTGCATTGTACTGTTGAAAATTTGACTGTAACATGTCATAGTGAGACTTTTTTGAACATGTGTATTTCTTCATTGAATAGGTTTTGCTAAGCTATTCTTCTTTTCCATTCTTTCAGGAATTCTCTAAACACAAATATTAGTTTGTTTGATGGTATCCCAGAGATCCCAAGTGCTGTTTTTATTCTCTTTAATTCTGTCTTTTTCTTTTTCATCTCTGACTGAAGTATTTCAAAATACTTCTCTTTAAGATCAGATGTTCTTTCTTCTGGTTGATGTCTATTTTTAATGCTTCCTACTATATTTTATTTAGTTTATTGAGTTCGTTTTTATTATTTTTTATCCTCCTTCAGTATCTCTATCTCTGCTGAATTTCTTTCTCATTCACATCATACACTGATTTTCTAGTTTCATTTAATTTTTATCTGTATATTTTGTATCTCTTTGAGTAACCTTGCAATCATTCTTTTGATTTCTTTCTCTGTCATTTAGTCAATCTTCCTTTCTTCGTGGTCTAATTCTAATGCATTATTGTGTTCCTTTTGGGGCATATTTTCTTGCTTATTCATATTTCTTGGGTTTCTATGTTTATTTTTGTACATCTGAAGGATCATTTGTTTCTATCACTTTTAGAGGATTGTTTTTATTGATTGAAAAAATCCTGTGATGATATCAATCAATGCAGAGAAAGTATTTGAAAAAGTACAACAGCATTTCATGACAAAACCTTGGGCAAGTTAGCTAGACAAGTAACACACCTGAACACAACAAAGGCCATATACGACAAGTCCACAGCCAACCCCATATTAAATAAGGAAAAGCTGGGACCATTTCCAGTAAAGTCTGGAACTTGACTAGGATGTCTACTCTTGCCCTCTTATTCAATCTGGTTCTGGAAGTTTTAGCCAGCACCACTGCTGAGAGAAGGAAATAAACTGTATACAAATTGGAAAGGAGGTAAGATCATCCCTATTTGCAGATGACACAGTCCTAGCTATCAGAGAGCCAAAAGAGTTCCACCAAAAGATTATTAGAGCTGATAAGAGATTATACTAAAGTTGCAAGATACAGAATCACAAAAATCAGTAGTAGCTTTTATACAACAGCAATGATCATGCTGAGAAAAAACTTTTGAGAGCAATCCTATTCACAGCGGTCACAAAAAATATAAATATATTGGGATACATTTAACCAAGTACAAGAAAAACTTCTACAATGGAAATTACAAAAAAAAACTAATGAAATAAATTGAAGAAGAAACACACACAATAATGGAAAGACCTCATGTTCGTGGATTAGAAGAATTAATATTATCAAAATGTCCATACAACACAAAGTAATTTATAGATTCGATGCAATCTCCATTAAAACACCAATGACAGAAAAAAATGCTAAAATTTAAAAAGAAACACAAAAGAGGCAGAATAGTGAAGCAATCAAGAATGATAAAAACAAAGTGGAGGCATCACAATATCAGATCTCAAGACATACTGTAGGGCTATTATAACCAAAACGGCATGGTACTGGCAAGAAGTAGACATATAGACCCATGAAACAAAATAGAAATCCAGAAATAAACCCACATATCTAAGCCAAATCATCTTTGATTAGGGTCAGGGTCAGGGTCAGGGTCAGTGGTAAAAACACTCCCTAGAGAAAGGACACTCTCTTCAATAAATGATGATGGAAAAATTTTATCTCACATGCAGAAGTTTGAAACAAGAGCCTTACCTTACACTGTCTACAAACAGCATCTCAAAGTTTACCAAGGATCTAAATATAAGATCCAAACTGCGAAACTACTGTAGAAAAACATAGGGGAAACACTCCAATGCAAGACATTGGCACAGGCATCAGCTTACAGTATAAGATCCCAAGAGCACAGGTAATGAAGGAGAGAGAGAGAGAGAGAGAGAGAGAGAGAGAGAGAGATGGGATTATATCAAGCTAAGAAGTATCTGCACAGTAAATGGAACAATCTACGGAGTGAAGAGACAACTGACAGAATGTGAGAAAATATTTGCTGACAGCCAGAATATGTAGGGAGCTCAAGAAATTCAACAACAACAAAGCAAGGAATCTAGTGAAGAAATGGGCAAAGTATACAAATAGACGTTTCTCAAAAGAAGAAATACAAATGGCCAAAAGATCCATGAAAAGACACTCTGTATCTTTAGCCTTCTGGGAAATGCAAATAAAAACCACAATGCGGTGTCATTTTGTGCCAGTTAGGATGGCTATTATCCAAAAGTTAAAAAATCACATATGCTGGAGAGGATGCAGAGAACAGAGAACGCTGATATACTGTTGGTGGGAATGCAAATTAGCCCAGTCATTATGGAAAAAAATATGGATATTTCTCAAAAAAAAAAAAAAAACTAAAAAGGGATCCACCAAGGGAACCAGGATGTGCAGGGAAAATTAAGTCAACACAATCCCATGTTTATTACAGCCCAAGCCATGATAGGAAAGACACAGAATCAACTCAGATGCCCATCAGCTGATGTTGGAGTCAAGGAAACATGGGACACACACAGGATGGAATATTATTCACTCATAAAGTGAATGAAATCATGACACTTGCCACAAAATGAATGGAACAGGAGATTATTATGTTAAGTGATATAAGCCAGACCCATAAAGACAAAATTATCTCATAGGTGGAAGTTAAAACCTATTAAAATGTGTCAAGATCATATTATTTGGTATATTGATAGCTATAAATATTACCTTCACTGAATTGTACCCTTTGAATAATCATATATTATTCTTTCCTTGTTTTAAGATCCTTTTGTCTGGCCGGTGCTGCGGCTCACTAGGCTAATCCTCTGCCTGCAGCGCTGGCGCACCGGGTTCTAATCCTGGTCGGGGCGCCGGATTCTGTCCCGGTTGCCCCTCTTCCAGGCCAGCTCTCTGCTGTGGCCCGGGAGTGCAGTGGAGGATGGCCCAGGTGCTTGGGCCCTGCACCCACATGGGAGACCAGGAGAAGCACCTGGCTCCTGCCTTTGGATCAGCATGGTGCACCGGCCACAGCGCGCCAGCCGCAACAGCCACTGGGGGGTGAACCAACGGAAAAAAGGAAGACCTTTCTCTCTGTCTGTCTCTCTCTCACTGTCCACTCTGCCTGTCAAAAAAAAAAAAAAAAGATCCTTTTGTCATGATTCCTATGTTATGTGATATTAATATCCCTGTTTTCAAGATCAATATTTTGAGTGTGTATGTATTTAAGATCTATGTATGAAGTAGATGCAGCGAGATGTTGAAAATTGAAAATTATTTATAAGTAAACAATGACAATTTTTTCAACACTCGCATTATTAAGTGGGGCACAAAATATATAAATGAACACAAAACTATTAAGCAAACCCAAATGAGTGGTTCCTCTCAAACTCTAATAAAGCAATCAACCAACTCCTCTTGGATGGGGTCTGAGATTGTCAACAGACACAAGGGGTTGGTTAGCTTGGGGTATCGCCAAAGAAATCAACCCCAAGCAGGAGGTGCTCAAAGGAGAGCTTGATTTACTTATGACAAGGAAAGGGCACAAGTGAGGGAATGGAGAGATTCCTACAAAACTGATTCCCAGAGATAAATCAATCTATATATCTATATCTATATATCTATATCTAATCTGTATATCTACCTATTATCTATCTCTCTACCTTTCAAAAAATTAAATAAATAATTAGTTACATTTTTAAAATCTGCCCGGATCTACCGGGATAATTCTTTTCCAGTAAGCAGTTGCGGATTCTGTGCCTGTGTTCTGGTGCCCTTCTTGTCGGAAGCTCACACTCTTGGTGACAGGATCCTTATTTTTAACAACCTCCATGTGACACTGCTCCTGGCACCTTCCTGGCATGGCAAGAGAAGATCTGGAACGCAATTCACAGAGAAGAAAGTACCAGAGGCTTATTTTTTTTAAAAATGAAGCATGTTCAAGTTCATTAGTAACCACAAGAATAGACAGTGGGGGAATTAACAGAAACTCAGATATTAATAGTGGAAGTTTGATCCTAATTAACTAATCCATCCAGTCTGTTTCTAGAACTAATAAATGACCATAAGTTCATATGCTATATATATATATATATATAGGCACCTGCACCAACATTGGTAAAAGTTTTTAAGTAATTATTTTATTTTATTTATTTGAAGGGAAGATAAAGAGAAAGATGAGGGAGAGAGAATGAGAGGGAAGATGGAGAGAAACAGAGATTTTTCCACTTTCCAGTTCATTCCAGCATGGGTAAATTTTTTCTTTAAGATTTATTTATTTGAAAGTCAGAGTTACACACAGAGAGAAGGAGAGGCAGAGAGAGAGAGAGGTCTTCCATCTGTTGGTTCAATCCCCAGATGACCACAACAGCTGGAGCTGTGCTGAACCAAAGCCAAGAGCCAGGAGCTTCTTCTGGGTCTCTCATGTGGGTGCAGGGGCCCAAGGACTTGGGCCATCTTCTACTGCTTTCCTAGGCCACAGCAGGGAGCTGGATTGGAAGTGGAGCAGCAGGGGCTTGAACCAGTGCTAATATAGGATACCGGCTCTGCAGACAGCAGCTTTACCTGCTACGCCACAGCGCCAGCCCCCAACATGGGTAAATTTTAAGTAGAAAAAAAAACTAAATCAGAGAAAATCATAAAATTAGAAGATTTAGAAATAAGAGAAATATATGTTTCTTGGGAAAGTACATATATCAGATAATATTATTATGGAAAAAATAGTTTTTAAAATTTAAAATTGTGGTTAGATCATGGGAAAGGCACTGAAATAGCAGATAAAATAATTAGAAGGAGTACATGCTTCTAGTAATATTCTTTTATTAATGTTTTAAAGATTTATTTTATTTATTCATTTTCTTTATTTGAAAGGCAGAGTGATAGAGTGAGCGGGAAGGAGAGACTGAGAAAGATCTTACATGTGCTGGTTCACTCTCCAAAAGGCAACAATGGCTGGAGCTGGTCAAGGGCTGGCCAAGGCTGAAGTCAGGAGCCAGGAAATCCACTGAGGTCTCCCACGTGGACATCAGGGACCCAAGCATTTGGGCTATCATCCGTTGAGGCTCCAGGAGCAGTAGCAGGGAACTGGATCAGAAGCAGAGCAGATGGGACTTCAACCAGGGCTCTAATATGGGATGCCAGTGTCACAGGCAATGTCTTAACCTGCTGCACCACGATGTTAAGTAATATTCTAATTTTGTATTTTGTGCCATGATTTGGCAGGTTTTTCTGTAATAACTAGATTCCATAACTTGTGTACAATTTGTATCTAATGTATTTATAATATCAAAATATGTAGATGGTATAAATACAGATTTTCAGATACAAGTATGTTTACATAACTGTATTGGTATACATGCCCATCTTGAGCAAAGATCTAAAGTATAGTTAAAGTAAAATTCAAGGAACACATTTAGTTAATCTTCTATGGAGATTCAGATTAAGATATTTTACATGCTCCTAGAAGATATGACACTACATAGATAAAAATAGTGATGGATTTTCATAAACATTTACGGCAGAGATGTATATCTCACCTGAAGAGAGATAGAAAAAGAAATTGACTTATGATATTTGTACAATCATATACAGACACTGATATGTTTATGCCTTCTTTGAAGCAAAAGGTAATATACACACAAATGCATTTACAAATACATATACAAATATATTTCTGTGATTCTGTGCAACTAAATACGTACACACATTTGTACAATTCTAAAAGAGTTCTAGATCTAACCACATGTATTTAATTTTATCTAGTGTCAGATGAATGTATTATTATTTTCTCCTAGATACATGTAAGAACTCTACTAACATAATCCTGTCAAACACACAGATATTCTTATGATCCCATAGAACAGAAGCTAACATTTAAATACCATACTGAGAGAGAAGTGTTTACATAATCCTAAATATATAAAGTTACAGCTGTTAATCAACATACAGAATCCTATAAATATGTATTTATGAAATGTAAACAAATACAGAACTAATACAAAAATATTTCTGAAATCCATGCATGGTTTTTCCACATAGTATGAAAAAAAATTTTTTTCACGCACCAAAAAATATTATCATCACCAAAATAAACTAATTGTCAACACCACTTTCCAGGGCTTTTGAAGCATCTTCATATTGGTGTTCCATAAATCCAGATCAACATTCATAACTTGGTGGAGATATAGAATTAATTACACACTTTAATATGGAATCAGAGAAAGAAACACTGAAGCACCCTCTAAAAGCATGGATATATTTACATAATCTTGGCAAAATTCCATTTTGTAGGATCTCTTTTGCAAATCAATAATTAACAGATGTTACAAACATACCAGAGGATTATGATTTATAAATATATATGCATTGGTATGTATTCTCAAATACATGTATATATACATGAGTCAGCTGAGGGTACTTTAAAACATTTGTTGAAAATATGAATTATCCATTAAGCCCAGTTTTCCATGAACTTTCTGAAGCCAGCATGTGATTTCAAAATATTTGTGGAAAACAGACTTAAGAATTAAATAGGTCTCTCTCTCTCTCTCTCCCTCTCTCTCTCTCCCTCTCTCTCTCTTGAATTCTGCTTTTCAAGCATCTGAAAATAAACATTTTTATAAAAGCACAAAAACTGTTTTTTTCAACGTGAGCTCCATCAAATTCAAGACACTTTTATAACCAGTAATAGCAGTCATTTAGTGCAACCCTGGAGACTTGTGGGTCCTGGAAAGGTAGCCACGTCCATGCATCCTTTCCCATGTTATTAGCTGAAGAAAAACAGGTGTTCTTGAGAGATGTCTGAAGTTTAGGAAATGAAACGTACTCTGGAAGAAGCCAAATCAGGACTTGAAGGTGGAAGTGTAACAATTTCCTACTGAAATGCTCACAAAATCCTCCTTGACTGATGGGAGGAATGGACAGGAGCACTGTGGGGATGGAGGACTGCCTGGAGATGCTGTCCTGGGCGTGGCACACTTTCTCAAAACACTGCCCTAGGAAGCAGGTGCGGTCTTTCCTGGCTCGCTGGAAAGTCTGAAAGCAAAATGCCTTGAGCATCCCCCCAAAACAACAACAATAACAACAACAGAAACGTGGCCATGACCTTTGCTGGTTACCAGTCACTTCTGCTGTGACTGGACCACTCCCACCTCTTGGTTGCCATTGCTTTGATCTTGTTTTATCTTCCGGATCACAGGGCAAAAGCCAGGTTTCACCTCCCGTTGTAACATTCTTTGAAGAACTGCTTCAGATTCTTGATCTTACTTGTGTGAAATCTCCATGGAGAGTGGTGCCCTTGTCTGCTGCTGATCTGAGGGCAACATTTTTGCACCCATTGAGTGGGAAGTTTGCTCTGCTTTTTGTGGACTTGTTCAAGCCGAACCAGCTGAGGTGTTCCTGCTGTTGGCCTTTACGTCTGCTGTTAATCGTTGGTCCTCAGTTAGGATACAACGGAGATTAATTTCTTTCCTGGCAAATTGGTGTAGATGGTCTGTTGTTGTGAATTCTGGTGGCAAGATCATCCCGTCCCTTCCTAAAATGAGTTGTCCGTTTGTTACCTGCTGGCTTCTTCTAGGAACTGTCCCCATAAAGCTGACTGCTGTTTCATCTAAGCATGTTCTGCCTTCCATTTTAGCAGAATTCACACTGCTCTCAAGGGGCTGTTTTCAAACTGATGTCTTTTCTTCTTCTGGCCTCAAATTGGTCAGATCCTATTCAGACATGGGCTATTTTGGTGCAGAAGATTTTTTTTAAATCCAAGTATAGTTTTTTCATAATATGCAATTTCCTCTAAATTTTTTTGGAGGACCCCTGATATGTGTATGTGTATAACATATATAATGCATATATCTATATATATATATTCCTGCATAATTAGATGTATATTCACACAAACCCATAGAGGGTACTCTATGCAAATACACTTACAAACCCCTAGCTATTACAAATATAGACACATCTTACATAATTTTATGATGCAAAAGGCAGATATATTTATATATTCCTACACACATAGATTTACATAGTTAAATATAGTTAATCACAATCTTAGAGGTAGAATCAAAATCATATTCAGGTACGAACTTTAAAATCCAACTAATAATTCTGTAATGCCACAAAATCTATATTCACAATCCCAAGAAGCTACAGCTGTAGAATCTTACATATAATTGTGTAGAAAAATAGATCATAATCATATCTTATCCGGATCTAATTTAGATCTTAATCCTCTCCACATCCAAGCCCCAAACTCATACTGATGCACAAACCCTTGCTTTTAAAACAATTTATTTTATTTATTTGAAAGGGAGAGGGGGAGAGAGAGAGAGAGATTAATTTTTCTTCTGCTGGTTTCCTTCCCAAATGGCCTCAGTAGCCAGAGCTGGGTCAGCCTAAAGCCGGGAGGCAAGGAACTCCATCCAGATGTCCCACATAGCTGGCTGGAACTCGACACCAACATCTGGTACTTCCTGGGACTCAAAACTGCACTCTAATATGGGATGCGGGGTTTCAAGCAGCAGCTTAACCCCCTGAGCCACAATGCCTGTCCCTGAATGTACACACCCTTCAACTCCATTCCCATCTATAGACATAACGGTAGCCCTAACCCCAACAACCCCTGGTTTTATATGCAATTTTATTCTCAACTCCATCCAAACACACATATGTACATAGGCAGGCAATCATACCAACAATCTAGTCAATATTATTACTCCTGTGAGAATTAACATTTTCCTATTCATAGAAGCAGAGATATGCATAAATCTAGTCCTCTACATATAGAAACATTTGTGTATATTTTACATATATACATAGAGTTGCCCTTGATACACACACACACACACACACACACATATTATACTGAGGTATAGATACCTGCTTGATTTGTTGTAGTGATATGCATGCTTAAATAGCCACTTAATCCTATATACACACATAGCTCCACACTTATGCATAATTCTATTCATACACAAGGAAACATACAAGGTTTTTTTGTTTGGAGGTTACTGTCTATCTCACAGTAATTGAATCTTCTTATAGACTTTTCCTTTTCCTTTTCTTGCCTAAAAATATCCCATGGATTGTTTTCCAAACCAACTGCTGTGCATCAAATTCATTCTGTGGCTGGGCATTGCATTCCTGTCTCATTTTTGCCACTACCAACCATGCTGTAATAAATATCCAGGTATGGAGGCTTCTGTATGGACCGCAGCTTCTGTTTTTAGAGGAAAATTTTACCAGGAGTGAATTTCTGGGTCAGAAGCTCTACATTATTTTAACAAATGTTGTCACATTGCTTTCCACAAAGATTCGGTTTACCTTGCCACCAACCAGGTAGCACAGGTGGTTTTTTTTCTTTCTTTTTTTTTTTTTTTTTTTTTGACAGGCAGAGTGGACAGTGAGAGAGAAAGACAGAGAGAAAGGTCTTCCCTTGCCGTTGGTTCACCCTCCAATGGCTGCCGCGGCCGACGCACTGCGCTGATCCGAAGGCAGGAGCCAGGTGCTTCTCCTGGTCTCCCATGGGGTGCAGGGCCCAAGCACTTGGGCCACCCTCCACTGCACTCCCTGGCCACAGCAGAGAGCTGGCCTGGAAGAGGGGCAACCGGGACAGAATCCAGCGCCCCGACGGGGACTAGAACCTGGTGTGCCGGTGCTGCTAGGCAGAGGATTAGCCTATTGAGCCGTGGCGCTGGCTTTTTTTTTTTTTTTTTTTTTTTTTTTTTTTGACAGGCAGAGTGGACAGTGAGAGAGAGAGACAGAGAGAAAGAGCACAGGTAGGTCTTTTCCCCTGGTTTCCAGCAACAATGGCTATACATCTTTTTATTTACATTGACTTGTCTGTGTGTGGATGGGGCTGTTTCATAGTTATTAGCTCCATCTTCATTCCTTGTCTAGTAGTGAGATTGAGTAACTATTGTTATTTTATGAGCTATTTGGAGTTGCTGTACTGTGACTTACCATTGCATATCCTTGGCTTACCTTTGTAGTAGTTTTTGCATGTCTTATGTTTTCTAGTTAAAAGTTATATCAGCATCAAGAGATCATTTGATACTTTGTTTTACATTGTTAGTGCCAAGTATTCC